TTAACTACGTAAACGTATAACTACTTGTTTCCTGTCACCCGCATTGTTTTACATTGAGCTTGTTGGTTTCTTCTTTGCAATATAGGTTTAAGCGTTTTGTTTGATATTAGTGTGGAATAAAATAAAACATAAACATATATAAAATATCAATATTAATTATCTCAGTAATAATTTCTAAATAATACCATTGATATCCAAATCGCAGCTATAATAATTAATTTCGTCTACCCACAATAAAAGAAATTGTTATGACAGAAGCATACGAGTAGTGGCACATTTTGTCAGGCGAGGATATAGTGGCAGTGATATTTATTTATTTATATCGTAGAGGGGTAGCAGATTAGCGGTGAATTTACAGTGCGCCGAGAAGCGATGCAGTTTATTTTCGGCGCGCGAGCATGATTTAAACAGTTCCTGGCTAGTGGCGCGGTTAGAAATTGAAACCAAACTTGGATTTCTAGTTAAGGAAGCTTAACGTTGAGCTTTTATATCATTCTAACTGTCAATTAAAGCGACATAAAGATATATTCTTAATATTTTTTCATATAAATTTACTGTAAACAGAAATTATATTGTGCCATATAAGATTTCCGCTTCAATGCTAGTTAAAACTATTAATTCTTTCAACATTTAGCAATAACATGAATTGCTATCAGTTTTATATCTAAGTCACGAAAACGGCATATCTACGTCCACTTAGTATTATCCGACATACGTGACCTTAATCCTTTTTGATCTCGTAGCTTTCGCTCGAGATATTTCTGCTACACAATAATAATATATAGTTATGCAACTGTATTTACCCAATAACAGTGTTTTTCCATTGTAATTTACCCAATGTAGTGTTTTTATGATAGCGCAAAAAGAAAAAAAATAATTAAGCAATTCAATTGAATATTGTTGATACAATTCGTATAGTATGTTATTTATGATAAAACCGCTTTATATGCCTCGGATCATTAAGAACCAGACATCGCTAACAAACACATTAGTGACGACAAAGTCAATTTATGAAGCGTAGCTGTCATGGTCTGAAGGGAGAAAAATTTCAATAATTTAACGTCTACAAGGAAAAAACTAAGCATATAAGTTATGTCCTAGTGAATGGCGGTCGACAAATAGTATATTGGCGATAAGTGAAAATTCTGCGTTCGTTAACGATGTTGAAGGGATAAAAACGTAGCAAATTAGCAACTTAATGTGCAAATTACCAGGAATAATCGTCAATTTTGATTAACGGACTGTGAATATGTATTTTATATAGATAAATTCTAAAATAGTCTACGACTACTATTCACCTGCTTCAAACTCTAAGAATGTATTCAAAAGTAGAGTATTAAACAATTCACTCGTTAATTAGAAGGGAATCCATATGAATGAAGCAATTGAATTGATAAACTGCAATAATATAAAAAAAACTGACATTTAATGTAATATTTTACTCCGCTTATCTCTTTTCGTTACTAGAACTGTAGAGAAGTTTTATAGGTAGATACCTTTGAATTGACAAAATATGTAGGTATATTTAACACCTACTCTAGAATATTTCCGTATCTCAACTTGAAATGTAGGTTGTCGGAAAAACCAACAAGACGGCTGAATTTCTTTTTAATTCCACTAAAATATTTTCCTAGCACCTAAACACAAAGGAAATTCTAGCAAATTCTAGAGCGAGGCGCGAACGGCGGTGACACGCTATCGCGAAGCCACGCTCGGAGGGCATAAATCAACAGCGCGCTTGTTTTACCAATAAAATTGATTCTTTCGGATCACACTGAAAGCTACGCTCATATTATATAACCGAGCTATATTTTCAATAGATTTTTAAATATAAACTTATCTACTGTTAAATCCCATTAAATCGTATTAAATTAAAAAATAATATTTTGAAATAACTAGGCAGTCGTGAAATTTCATCATAAATCATGGTATAAATATTATTTATAAACGAATTGTTCATATCACATTTCACTTTTTAAAAACGAAATTTCCACTTCTATAAAAATTATTTTGTGTACGTCTCATATAAATCAAAGTATACAGTGTATCAATGGCAGGCCCCGCTAAATACAGTCTATTTATCAGAAACACATTAACACACGCGTGCCAAACATTGATAAGTGAAAAATCGCGCATTGACAATCGCATTGTATAGTGATATATTGCGTACATCTGATACACGTTCATACATGTCACCAGTAGAACTATCTGATTTTAATACACGTAGGATAATCGGGTAATAGAAAATCAAATCGTTATTTGTTAGCGTAAATGTATTCGGATTAAATCTGCATACATAATTTGTGGTTTACGACTACTTAGTTATTTATTATACTTAAATTTATAGCTATAAAATGATGACAAAGTTATTTATGCTTTTTATATAATCTGATGGGAATTCAAGGTATCTTTGATATTGAACAAGGTTCTTGTATATTGAGATATAGTTTAGTTATTTTTAAGATTAAGTGAGAATAATGAAACAACCTATAGTGTATACATATAATAAAATTGTAACTAAGCCGAATTTTTGGAAAATCTTATTGAAATAGACATTATTATCGATACAGTGGTCGAATCTATAGTTTTTAGATTTTTTGTCTGTCTTTCAATCTGTCTGTCTGTTACCACATCAACAAAAACCACTGGAGCGATTTTAATTAAATTTGGTATGATGATAGCTCCGGGTCAACATATAGGATACTTTTAACTGCGGGAAAATATTTCATCTTATGAGAAATCTATACTAAAAGTTAAAAAGTAAGTAGGGACGAACCTGAGTGCAGCGAGGGTGAGTCGCTAATATATATAATATATAAACCTCATAATGTTGTATAAATAATAAACCTCAGTTTTAAGCTTCTAACATTACTAAACTATTTAAACTTAGGTACTTAATACAATAGTTTAATCTTCTTTGCAATGTAACATTCATTTAAGCAACATATACAAAGTATTTTATTATTTATTATACAGGAAACTAAACAAACTAACCAAAAGTGTCCACGGTACGGAAGCAGCAGGAGGCAAAGCAAGAAAATAAAGTGGAGTAAAGAAAATAGAACGACGTGTGTCGGACTCCGAATCTGTAGAGTGTACTTTCATTTATTATAATTTATGCTGCGGGGTTTCGTAAACTTTACATAAATATAATATGGTTATTTTTAATAAATTATTATTTCAATAACACTTCTTTACTCATACAATTAAGTATACAGTTACCTTAATTTACTAGTTTACACAACAATACAATACTTGTAATAGAGATGTTGGCACGTATTAAATTTTCAAAACACATTAAATCAAAGCTTTTCAACAGCTTTAGAACTCATATTTATTTTAATTGACGTATCTTTTTAATTAACGTAAATTAAAAACATTTTTTTTAAGTGCGTCTCCATAGAAACGTTAACTTGCGTAACCGTGAGAGCTGAGCGGAACATCCGAAAAGAAAAGCGTGGCAGGAAAACGGGACAAAAAGGGTGGCTTGTAGCCGTCTCCGTATCATGAACCTTATGAAGAGGACTTGAAGAGGGGCTTTTGTTATCAATATAAAGAAAAAATGTTTAATATTTATATTATATATACCTAGTATGTTATTTATATTTTATATTTCGTCGCCTTTCCACTGACATTGCTTACCTGGTTATATTTAATGGTGTTGTTAGTCACATATTCATACATTTGTGTTATATTTTTTTAAATAAAAAAATATTACAATAATTCAATATTTTCCTAATTAGGTGACATATTTGAACATAACAAAATTAACAGTTTAAACAATGTAATATTAGATACAAAAGCTATGAGTACAAAATAGCGCTGTTGAGTAATAAAAATGTAAAAAAGATTAATACACAATTTAAAAAGTACTTTCATCCAATGTCCATTAATAATATCGTTCTGAAAACGTATGTACTTAACATTTACACAGTAGAAATTTGCTTCTGAGGTGGTTTTATTATTCTAAAATGTAAGCGAAGCTGTGACAAATGGTAAAAAATAATAAAACAAAAGAGACGGAAACAAAAATTTGCTTTGTCATAAATCGAGAAATGTTTCCGACTGCCTTATTACAAAGCTCCTCTTTGTAGACGCTTTGAAACTTTACTTCTTAATATAACATAAATGAATATTAATCATATTTATGGTTATATTTTATTTTATTCATTCTGAATTCATCTATAATAATAAACAGAAAAAGGTTGATTCCGGTATACGAGGCCTTATAGGAGGGTACACATCAAAATTCTGCCTATTGTAGCAACGGAAGAGCTTAAACGTTTCGCTCAACACAAATCCCTTGCGAAAAGATTCCATTAAGAAAATCAAAAAAGGTCTGCTCAGTTCACGGCTCGCGACTATTTTCATTTAGCAAAAACAACCCATAAATTGTCATCTTAACGAGATTTCTGTTTTTGCTATATTCGCACCCTTGGCTTGATGGAGACTAGCAGTTTGGTAATGTCCTTGTTACTCGAGTATTATTGCGTCAGCAGCTGCAAAATAATGAATTGCCTTGTTGATAAATAATGCAAAATATTCCATTCAGTTCTTTCATATACATATTTTAATGAAATAAATATAGATATATAATTTTTCTGTCAGAATCTATATTCTGAATCGCCTGCATAGATGCAGTGTTTTGGCACGCAAAACGGGCGCATGCGTGTCAAGACATCAGACGCTGCGCGCGAGTGCGTGCACCCGCTAGTTATTTATTGCCTCACCGATGAATTCGCTTTGTTTATAACATCTTTCATTCGAGGGCTAAGTAAAAAGCTTATGAATGTGTTATTGGAGTTCTTTGCATTTCCAATGAGGAATTAGTCGTAAAAACTTGTGGACTTATGTTTATAAATCGAGTGATAATTTATATTTATTATTCTCCAACAGTGAAAGCGAATATTGAGCGAGTGAATTGCTAATAATCATATTATAAAGTTAGATATTAATGTACTGCGTCCCGGCGTGAAGCTCAGACGAGTGTACTGCCGAATATGATAATTAAAGAGCCGTTACACAGTTCGGGCACCCGTCTCCTAAACCTTTGCCCAAATTATCCGGACATCGTGTCATCTTGTCCCAATCCAATATGGCGCCATAAATCTACAAAGGGGGCGAGGCGGCACTGGAGGGGGCATGTCACTCAAACTTTCTCTGTACTTCGTCTTACGCTCTCGTCTTACGGAGTTGGGGTTGGTACCGATAGAATAATAGGAATTATTTCATAATGTAAATATAAATTATATCTGTGTGTATAAATTTAATTATTGTAAGAATAATGTAATATTTATATATTATGTAATTTAGTCAGGAACACTTGTATTAAGCTAAACACATCTTGTATACATCAGCAAATTGAAAAGAGAACAGTATCACTAACACGAATTGGACCATGTGCTTGGGTTTTACTTCTATTTTGTATCACTAGGTATTTATTTTATGGTAAAAAATTCAGCGTGCTGTCGCTACAGGGCGCGGTGGCGCGTTCAAGGAATTCTCAGATAGAGTTCGAGCGGCGGGATGAGTAATCTCTTTTGTTTTTCTAAGAACATCGGGCGGCCACGTTCGATTATCGGGTTGTTTTCTACAAAGCCTTTGGAAATTCAGTATTATATTATCGATTATAATGTTCCATTTCAAATTATTCTAACCAAACGTCATTTCAATTACGACAAAACATTGATAGAAGATAAAATAATAAATTTTAACCCTTAAATTATAATATCTATTACAATATCGTTGAATATAAATAGCTTGTAAACATTATTTGAAATTAAAATATCATTTATTAAATACATGTGAGTAATTATTTTAGTATAAAACATAAACTAGGTTTAAATACCACTTGTTCCTTTATTAACATATTAGGTACGTGATATCACCTTAAGACAAATGTGGAGATAAGTTATTCAGGTAAGCTAACATTATAAAATTAAATATAGAATTTAGTTAATTAATTGTTGTATAAAAACAGTTATTGGCTGGGAAATGTCACAGAGGAAGTTCTATATGTGTTCTTCAACATAATGTTATCTTTTATGACACTTATTTAATATTCAAATTCACACATGCTAGTATTCGGATCTAACCTAGTTTGCATTTACAGTTACGAGCGAGATTAAATGTCTCAAGCTCTCTACTGACCTTAATGAAATTTTGCACACAGCCATATGAGTGAAGCAAGATGCTAAACTCAAACTGGTTACTTCTATAAATAGGCAGCAACAGATTAATTACTTTATTGTGTAAGCGCACAGCGAATCTTAGATTCCGAAATGTAAGGCGATACGCAAATTTCCTAATCTAATTAAATTACTTCGAAGAAATTATTTCAATATCAACCTTACCAATTTTAGTTAGAGTATAATATACTTTAAATGTATCACCGTGTAGAGTAACCTATTCGTCGGCCCCTACAATAATTGAGGCATCATAAACTTAATATAGCGAGACTAAGCAGGCCCATGACCACAACACGCACTACTAAATAATTCCGAGTGATCGTAAAGTAGGCAGGTATTTTATGACGATAATACTGTTATGAAATATATTTATTATAGGTGGTTGTTATTTTTAATTTGTAATAATGTTAACGCTTTAATTAGTGTCGATATAATTTAATAATGAATTTTAAAACACTCACTGCAAAATGTGAAGACAATTATCTATAGGTACCTACATACCTATAATAAAATTGTAACCTAGCCGAATCTGTAAATTAAATATTTTTTGGTAAATCTTATTGAAATAGATATTATAATCTATACAGAGGCCGAATCTATAGTTTTCAGAATTTTTTCAGTCTGTCTGTCTGTCTGTTACCGCATCTCAGAAAAACCACTGGAGGGATTTTGATAAAATTTGGTATGATGATAGTTGGTTATCCGGGTCAACATATAGGATACTTTTTATCGCGAGAAAATGTCTCATTTCTGAGAAAAAATACAAAAACTGCAATATAAGTATACTAATATGTAAAACCTAAGAATTTAGTTTTTTATCATCTGAACGCGGGTGGAGCCGCTGGCAATGCTAGTGTATTATAATTTAAAAGCTTACGATCAAGTAGTTACAACTGCACGTTGTAACGATAAAAGAAATACACAATAAATATTCGCATCTGATCTTTGCATTATGAAGATGTATAAATAAATAGACTAAAAAAACAAAATTATGGGTTAGCAACTAATAAATAAAACATTATCTTTTATTTATATTGGAAACACTAAAATGAATTTGATTAAATTAAGCGACATATAATCTCATTACTCGCGTGACCACACACTATGCAATACCTATTGGTTTTCAATATAGTGGCTATCCATCACACCGTCTTAGCGCTACGGGGGGTGACTATATTAGACAACCTTCGTCAGGCGCGTTTGCGCCTTAGTTAGGAATTACCCGGATGTACATATATCTATACCTAAATAACAAGCGATATATCTATTACGAGATTATAATATAATCGTTTTAAAATAACCTTACAAATCAATTAAATATTGAGCAAGGCCGTATAATGAATCATGGAGATTGTAGGTGTTATTTTTATTAGGTAACACAAATTTGAAATCAATCTAAAATACGTCCGTTAGCAACGGATATGTGGAAGGACAGAAATCTGGCGTCATTCGTGGCCTTTTTGTTAACCTTTTAAATATTTTTGTAGAAAACGTTTTTTGAACCAAAAAATATATTCGCTCTCACGTGGAAGCATGAAAGCGGCAAAAAATTCATTGTCTACGAAAATTTTAAAGATAGTTAAAAGTATGTTCCGTGGTTTACTGCGTCATAAATTATACTAGATTGCAAGTAACAAAATAGAATTGTACAACAACAAGTTGGTCGTAATTGCTTATTATCTTACTCATTATGAGTATTGTTTAGACTTCGAATAAAAAATCCAGAATAAGTATGCATGAAGTTAAATTTTTGGACAAACTTTATCTGTTTATTATAATATACCTTATCATTATGTAATAAAGTCTAATATAGGAGTACATATAAATTTGTAAAAGTATTTCTATTGCTTCACTGTTAGGGAGACTAACGGGAAGATCATGCGGTTTTACATTTCGAGTTTTAAGTAAAAATTAATTATGCCCACATTATTGTTTCATTGTTTAACTCGAGCTCGGGTCTGTTTGGACATTTTGCGTAATTTTAACAATCTTGTGTTCTAAGCACGTGTTGAGATTTTACTTGTAAAAAATGTGCAAGTTTAAAACTTTTTCTAAGATTCAACATACATTTGTAAATGTATAATAAGTTAAGGAAAAATTTAAAATATTACAGATCAATTTTTTCTTTTTTTTGAAAACTGCTAGTATATACATATGAGTAAAATTTATATATTTGTAGCATAGGTACTTAAGAAAAAAAATTGCTAATAAAATAATATTAAAGTATTTCATTTCTATTTTAAAAAAAGACAGTAACTAAACTACCTAATTATCCGAAATCATTATTTATGTGGTGTTATTGATTATTTTATTACTACAGCTTTAACAGTAGGCCGTAAAAATGGGACCGTAGAGTCGTCACTCAGTTGAACTTTTATGACCTCATTTGTACAATTTAAAGCCATACCCTTGAACTATGAGGCAAATTATAAATTTACTTTTATGATCCTATTTAGGAATATATTGAAACACTAGCTTTAGCCCACGGCTAGATTTAGCACGTAAAGCATGACATAGGTATTAATATCTTTCAATAAACATCTAAGTAATCTGTAAAATGCAAATTTTCAAATCTGAAAAGAGACAAACAATACTAATTGCTATAGATTAATGGTTTTTGTAAATTGTTTTAAATTGTCTAAAAACTGTCTTAAGATTTGAAAATTTAAAAAAGCACATCAACTATTTTAACACGGCCATCGTAAATTTAATGGCTGCTGTGATGAGGCGTGAGAACACTTAATGGTGGCACAGAGTAGCTATGAATAGAATTGTAACTTAACTTAATATTCTTTATTATAATATTATAACTGTGAAATATGTAATTTGGCATTAATTATTATAAATAACAGCGGTTGAGGACAGTGCGAGTAACGTGTATTATATTTAATGCATTATCTAGAGCAGAGGTGGCGTAGTTATAGAAAAAAGACCTAATATCTCAAATGTCAAAATGTGACATTGAGTGATTTGTAGCTAAGCCCCGCCTGTCCCGTGTTTCAAACATCAGCTCGGGGCAGACAGCTGAGCTCTAAGAATTAGGGCGAAAGCGAGTTGCATACGTCTATCCCGCCCGCACTCACTTCCAACACCTATGTCTATTTCACACGTTTAAGACTCCCATTCTATAAACGGCACTACTATTACATGGTATACTTACCTGAGATGTTTTGTGAAGAGTTCAACGCTTTTTACCGTTGCAGTTTGTATCTAAGGGATTTGTGAGCGCCTTGCACAAGGGATTTCGCGCTTTTGTATTGTACGTATCTACTTTGAAATTTTTCTACAGACATCGGTTATTGGTAAGTTTATATGAATGCACAACCTAATATTATTATTTTTCTATATTTCGGAATATATAACATGAAATCGTAGAAAAATATAACTAAATCTATTTCTAGAGTAGAAAAAGCGTAAGCTCGTTAATTCGTATTACATTATTCATTGATTTTAGAATATTACTATAATCGTAATCAGGTCATTACAAGCACCTGTATGATAGAAGTTCAACCCATGACCTCCAACATAAGAAGCAAAAATGATAATGATATCATTTTATCACTTGTAATGGTATAAGTAAACAGTAACTATTGCTAAATAAAGTCAATACTTATTGCCGTATATGTGTATTGAAAATACCCAATAATCTACTTTTGTGGTAGCATTTTATCTGGTAAATTAGTGTTTTTGCCTCGATACCAGAAGTTTTCATACAAGCGGTATAAGCATACCTGGAACAAATGAAAAAAAAAATTGAATATACCAAAAAGCATTCGAAATAAAGTTATTAAAGTTGGTTGGGGCTACCCTTACTACTTATTTAAATTAGTCGGGTGCATCATCCAAATGGGAGCTAATGCTTACGATAAACGTCCAAATCTATCATAGAGCCACATTTACTGTACTTAATTGCTTATTTAACATCTGGCTTTAATAAATGAATGTCTATGATCTTTTGTATAAATATTATATTCATTAGATCGCTCGATGCGGTTTTACTTACGTACTTATGTACTTAAAATCTAATATTTTAGAGAAAATTTAATTTATTACTTTAATTTGACTATTCTTAAATTTTAATATAACTTCTTTTATTTTTATAATAATATCCCGTTACGTCAATATATTTTTAACATCAAAATTCGTTGAACTTGAGAATAAATTCTTAGCCAGGAAATTTAAGAATAAATTAATTTAATTGAACATTTACAACATATAGATTTATATATTTGTACATCACAATATATTTTGTATTATATTAAAACGTTTGCAATTATAATCATTTTAAAGCCAGGCAGATGCTGTTGTCCGAATCTGTCGTCTCTGTATGGATATAAAT